GCGAAAAATTTGGGAGAGACTGTACGTAACGCGAGACTATAAATTCGGGTGCAGTAATGATACTCGATTAAATTGCATTATCGCGATCGTTAGACTGCGGATTTTATGCAAAAACAAAACCCTGACAATATTGCAAAAATTTAATGATTCGATCGTATCAGTTACGACTCGTTAAAATTGTTCAAAATAATACATTTATACATGCAAAAATACATTTATACATATATTTATTAATTTTATTTATTTTATTTTTATTTACTTTACTTTATTATCCTACGATAAAGCTACATTCTATTATGACTTTTTTATTAGGTATTACACAAATGTCCAATTTTTGTTCCTCGTATTATTTAGACGATACCACGTCTCGGTACGAGAATATTGTAAAAATAAACGTTCGGATAAGAGAGACGAGACTTACGTCACTTGTCAACCAAGAGGCTGACATGTACCGTTCGGCTTTTATTTATTCAAGTGTTTGACACTTGATCTCGTTCGCCGAGCAGGATGTCATTCGAAAAATCCTCGTTCGGAAAGGGTTAGAAGCAATTTAATCCCTGTTTCCACGGAACGGTGGCTGAGAAATGAATTTCCCGGGGCGGACGACGGTCCGCTAATAATTAACGAGGCACAATCTTATCTGAACGGGGTCGAAAACCGATATCCTGCCGCGAACCGAATGTTCCCGTTTCGAATTTATCAAGGAGCGTTCCGAATTCCGAGCCTCGCTACAAAATCGCTCGAAAAATTGCCTATCTCGCGTGGAGAGATATGATCTGTAAAGCGTGTTTATGACTTCTGAGACCCGCGGATCCTCTATACAGCTATACCAATCAGAGTTGACCTATTTGGAGGAGTCGCCGGTATCGGGCAGGTAAACAAAGACTTTAGCGGGGTTGTCTGCCGCTGCCGGTTATCGAAACCCAGCCCGGTTAATGAGGTGCTCATTCAATAATGCCAGCACTTATTTTTCTCTTTTTTTCCGAGAGAGCTTTCTCTCGTCGGGGATCCGAACACATTCCGCGGGGATTCCGTTATACGTGCAACCGCTATTCTTCAATTTTTGAAAACTCGCCTCGTTCGTCGAGTGCAACGAGCGTGTTTCGTGCTGCAACGATCCCCGGGTCTCTTTCCTCTGTTGATACCCGGATTTGTGATCTCAAACAGACATATCAATAAAAGATTGACTATTTTGGCCGCGACGAATCCCACGGCGAACGCAAAAAAGCCCGAACTATCCTCTGTGCCGTGTTTCACTCGTATCGGTACAGTTTCCGGAAATCGGGAGTTACCATTTTTGTTTTCGAGATCATCGTTGGCATTTCTGTGCGCCGTTTCTTTCAAACGCTCGCACAGCATTCATTACAGGGCCGAGAAAAAATAGGGGAAAAATAGGGGAAAAATAGACTTTTGAAATAGTTAATAGACTGTAAATATTTTTGTCTTCTCGTGCAATACAGAATTGAGCGAATGAACCTTTTTTGAAATAGTATAGTTAATAGTTAGTAATGAATAATATGAATAATAAATAATAAATAACGTATAATAATATATAATAATATATAATAAAATATTATATGATATAAATATTATAATAAAAATATTATATAATAATATATAATAAAATAAATAACAATTACATTGTATATCTTACAGTAATAATAGTTACATATTTTTCAAAATAGTAAACACATGCTAAAATAGTACATAGTTACATTTTGGTCAAGAAAGATCGTCCCGTATTTACCATGGGCCATTTACCGCGGCCATTTTGTTTATCTCGTGTGAAACAACGTGTAAGATTTTTAATTGGACTGCGAATCTTTATGCAAAATAAAAACCAACTGCATCTGTTGGATGAAATAGTTCCGTAATTCGATCCGTTCCTTTTTTAATCATTTTAACGGTTCGAAAATAACATATCAACGTTATTAATTGCTTTTCATCTTCCTACTGTTTCAAATTAGATATATTCATGTTTTGCGACAAACGCATAACATCCGTAATCCATTAATTAGCATAACTTTGGCTATATCAGATACTAGAACAGAAGATAAAGGTCGATAATTAAGAAAATAGTTACACTTTGAAATTATTAATTTCTTCTACTGATTTTTTTGTTATTGAAAATGTGAAAAAGAAAAAGACGGATTTTTTCCAAGGTTCACGCTGGAACATTTCCTCGAGTTGAAAATTCCCCGCTCTGTTTGTTTAACGAAAGTTTCTTGTTTAAAAGTATCGACACGTTCGAAAGTTTTGACGTTTACATTCGAACCGCGTATTGTCCTATCGAATGTCGCGTTGCTTTTGCTAGGCTGTCATAGCGGTTCTCGAACAGGTCGCCGATCTTTTTGGAAACGTTGTTTCGTTCCATGCGTTTTGTGGATGAGAATTTCATTTAGCCGCCGGGTACGTACTTTTTGAAGCGACGCATATTACGTTCCGATCTGGCTCTCGCGCAAAATAGAAACGTGGCAAAGAATTAAAATCATTTGGGACTACAGAAAAATCCACTTTTGTGCGGTACGGAACATTTTCAATGAAACTCTGAATGTTACCTGGTCTTTATTAAGCATTTGATAATTGTTTTATCTCCTGTAGTAGCTGTCTTACAGAACAGTTCTGCATGTTCAATTGATATATAGGATGTCCCATAATTATATTAATATCCGGAAAGAGGTGATTCCTGAGGTCATTTGAAGTAACTTTTTCCTTAGCGAAAATGCAATCAGCGGCTTCGTTTGCGAGTTATTCACGAAAAACACTGACCAATAAGAGGCGAGCTCGGCAAAGCGGCTGAGCCAACGAGCGGTCGGAGCCCAGTTCCACTGATTGGCTCGGTCGCCTAGCGCTAGGCGAGCTCGCCTCTGATTGGTTCGGCCGCCTAGCGCTAAGCCAGCTCGCCTCTGATTCGGCCGCCTACCGCTAAGCGAGCTCGCCTCTGATTGGTTCGGCCGCCTAGCGCTAGGCGAGCTCGCCTCTGATTCGGCCGCCTAGCGCTAAGCGAGCTCGCCTGTGATGGTTCGGCCGCCTAGCGCTAGGCGAGCTCGCCTCTGATTGATTCAGCCGCCTAGCGCTAGGCGAGCTTGCCTCTCATTGGTCAGTGTTTTTCATTAATATCTCGCAAACAAAGCCGCGCATTGCATTTTCGCCAAGGAAAAAGTTACTTCGAATGACCTCAGGAATCACCACTTTCCGGGTGTTAATGTAATTATGGGACACCCTGTATACAATTATATACATGTAAAGAATTTAACAATGCTGTTACATTATTTCCAACTTATTAAAAAATGTATGACTTGTTGACTCGAGTACGTTGCAATTAGCGCAGAGAACTTTTATTTTGCAGAAGGGGCCGCAGGCTTGTTGTAACAATTTAAACGCCGATGATATTTTCGTAAATCGGAAGTGCTGTGTTGCTAGAAACATGTGCATTAAAAACATCAAGCGGATGAATTTCCGCTCTGGAAACTCACATGACCGGATTAAAAAACATCGAACTATGTCGGCGCAGAAATAACTGCAGTTTTGAAGCATCAACTTTAACACAATTGTGCTTCAGCTTCGAGTACATTTTATGCGTAGAAATAGGAATCGTTTGCATTTACGGAATATTGCGGGAAACAGAGCCGTATTCCGTTCGCAATATACATACTTTCGAGATACTGATAATGATATCCGATATTATAACTTTTACGGAATTAAAAATTTGCGAAAATTAAAGTTCAACTTATTTTATATCTTGCATCGCTTCAATGAACAATCTTTCTTCTGCAAAGCATATATTTTTAAAAAGTTATTTTAAAAAAACGATCAACAATTATCAACCATTACTACGATCAACCATTACTATCTGAACAATTTTACAATCTCGAAGAACTCTTTCAGAAAATGAAAAATTATTCGAATTAATATATTTTTGAACAGTTCGTTCGAATAATTATTTATTTGTTGCAACTCTGGTATCGATGAGGTACCAATTGCAATATTCTCATAAAACAGCATATATTCTTAATATGTTCTCAAAAAATAGCTTTGAAAGAAGGGTCAACAATTATTGCCATTACTATCTGAACAATTCTACAATCTCGAAGAACTCTTTCAGAAAATGAAGAATCATTCGAATTAATATATTTTTGAACAGTACATTCGAATAATTATTTATTTGTTGCAACTCTGGTATCGATGAGGTACCAATTGCAATATTCTCATAAAACAGCATATATTCTTAATATGTTCTCAAAAAATAGCTTTGAAAGAACGGTCAACAATTATTGTCATTACTATCTGAACAATTCTACAATCCCGAAGAACTCATTCAGAAAATGAAGAATCATTCGAATTAATATATTTTTGAACAGTTCGTTCGAATAATTATTTATTTGTTGCAACTCTGGTATCGATGAGGTACCAATTGCAATATTCTCATAAAACAGCATATATTCTTAATATGTTCTCAAAAAATAGCTTTGAAAGAACGGTTAACAATTATTGCCATTACTATCTGAACAATTCTACAATCCCGAAGAACTCTTTCAGAAAATGAAGAATCGTTCGAATTAATATATTTTTGAACAGTTCGTTCGAATAATTATTTATTTATTGCAACTCTGGCATGAACGGAGCACCAATTGCAATATTCTCATAAAACAGCATACATTCTTAATACGTTCTCGAAAAAATGACTCCGAGGAAACGTTCAACAATTATCAACACCATTATTCGAACAAAGTCTCTTTTAAAAAGACGAAAAATGCATTAATCGAATAAACAGACGAAACGATTCGTACGAATTTATTTGCTACAATTCTGACACGAACGATGCGCGGATAAACGAGGTTCCAACCGTATTTTCGCGCCGACCCGGTCCATAGAAGATTCGAAGGTGCTATACAGGGTCGTATTGACCGAAGCACAGTGGGAGGGTTAAGCCGGGGTAGCCGGTAACAACCGTATCATTCTTGAACCATAACTGTACTGGTGCTATCTGTTTGCGACAGGTATCCTGGGTGAGGCACCGGGACATCCACCTGCTGACGGTGGGCGTCGAGACGTACACCTCCGACCAGAGATTCGTGGCGACGCATTTCCCCCAGACCGAGGATTGGACGCTCCAAGTGAAATACCCGCAGCGCCGCGACTCCGGCACCTACGAGTGTCAAGTGTCAACGACACCGCCGATCGGTCATTCCATGCATCTCTCGGTTGTCGGTTAGTTTCCGATACCTTCTTTCTACTGGTCTATTTGCCGCGCCGCGCGGCGCAATCTTCCCGTCGGAATCGTTCTGTCGCTCTCGCCTCGCCCGACGACCCCCGCCGCGCGCGCTCGTTAATTTTATTTTCTCCGAAACGTCTATCAGGATCGTCTCCGCCACACACACACCGGCATCGCACGACCGACCGTCAAACCACCCCCGCGCCTTGCACCCTCTCGTTTGCCCTCGGGTCCGGTTACGGATCGAGCTTACGTTACAACGGCTTTTCCAATTCGAAATCTGCTTTGAATTTCAATTAAAACGTCTCCTTCCTTTTTTTGCCGTCCCTGCCCCCTCTCTCTCCCCGTCGCCGTCACCGTGCCCGCTCGCCACCGCTGTCTCCAGCCAATTTGTGTTTGCTCCGGCGGAATGAATCCGGCAAAAATAATCAGAAACACAAAGCCCGACCGCGTCGCGTCGCGTTCTACCCTTCTTTTGTTCCCCTCGGCCGCCTTGCCGCCCCGCCCCGAACGCGCCGCCGTTCGAAGAGTATTGAATTCGGACACGCCACCGGCTTCGAGGGTGTGCTCCCGGGGCTCGAGAGTTCGGCTTTTTTCTTTTTTTCTTTTTTACCCGCCAGCCACCTTGACCGAGATCGATCGGGATCGGTTCCGAGGCTACTCAAAACCCGGCTCGCTCTAACCCGGTATCGAACAATTAAACTCCTTTTATCGCGACTAATGCCCCGCTTGTTTCCGGGCTACTCTCGTCGTTCCACGCACCGGTGTCTTTTTTTTGTCGAATCGAAATGCGCGGCCTGCGAGAGCGACGGGAGGACTCTGCAACCTGTTAGGGGATGGTCGCCCACGGTGAGCGAACGCCGACCGGCGATGCGAAGTTGTAATGAATGCGAACGTTCACGCGTTCATGGACCACCGATGTCTGAACGAGTTATGCAACAATTTACAGTCGATTTTTGACTCATTTACGATTTTATTGCTGTATGCGTAGAGAAACTTAAATAATCTTTCTATATATGTGTAATCTTTCTATTTATATAAAACTATTATATATGTAATATTTTATAATTATTACATAAATATTATATAATTATATATATTTTATAATTATTATATAATTATATATATTTTATAATTATTATATAAGTATTATATAATTATATTATATATAATTATAATATTGTTTTTATAATTATAATATAATTATTATATAATTATATTATATATAATTATAATATTGTTTTTATAATTATAATATAATTATTATATAATTATATTATATATAATTATAATATTGTTTTTATAATTATAATATAATTATTATATAATTATATTATATATAATTATAATATTGTTTTTATAATTATTATATAAGTATTATATAATTATATTATATATAATTATAATATAATTATTATATTATTATTAATATTATAATATAATATTATAATATTATTAATTTATTATATTATATATAATAATTATATTATATAATTATAATTATAATAAATTATTTAAGTTTATATATGTATAAT